ATTGTTAAGGTAGAAACTAAAGATTATATAATAATATATAGTTCTGATATATCATACTGCTTAAAAATTTTTGGCACTAATTGTTTTCAGCCATATTGATGCTATATACAATGAAAAAGAGCAATTCAATAAAGCTGAGACATCAACTTATAAAACTTTTTGGATAAAGTGAGTTAAAGGGACTTGTCACTTGACAATTATATGTGTACAATTATATATGTAGCAATGCATTATGCATTTTGAGGATACGAAGACACTTATGGATTCAAGATTTGAAATTTATGAATTTCAATCTCAACTCTATACTATAATAAACTTTTTTATATTTTAAAATGAAAACTATTAGGTTCACGTGAATATGTAACCAACCATCTAAATCCACCCTGTATGAAGATGTTAATAAATACAAAGCTAAGACAAAAAGGACCAGGCTTTTTAATATGAACTCATGTGAATATGCACAACTGTCTTCGTCCTTATCTTCTTATACTGTTATTATCCAACTTAGATAATGTATTAATGGATTACGGAATCGTAATATTCTCTGGCACCATATTGAATATGCAGTTTCTGATGATTTTTGCTTTGTTTTGTTTTGCTTTACTTAACTTATTTTTATAAGCTCCTATTTGTCCTCTATGATTGGGCGCATTTGGCGAGAGCTGTAATAGGCCACCATATTCCCTTTTCTTTATCATTCTTTAGTTTGATTGTTTTTCCTTTTTCGTAGCAAATAGTGAGAGAACAGTATTATCCAATAAGATTAGTACTAATTTTTAGATTGGACAAAGTTAGATGAAGTGAAACAAGGATGACGATCACGCTCTTCAGTTCAATACCTCTCTATTCCTTTTTTTTTTAAAACTTCTGTGATAAAATGGCAACAAAAACAAATGAAGACTGACAAAAAATAAAGGAGAGATTAATGGTCTCGAATTAAAAAAGTTGTACTTTTATCTGTTTTTTTAAAGGTAGTTATATCAGGAAAATTTATCAACAAAGAAAAAGAATACTGATTAGATATATGTATTGGTTTGTTTCACGTATTAAATCGTTACTCAGCACCCTACAAAAACAAGGGATTTTTTTATTCCTATACATTATTTGAAACTTTATTACCCTTAATGTCCATGTTTAGTTAATTACCTGGCATAAACAAGTTTTGTTTACAAAATATATACAATCCACCTTAAAAGGCTCTCAAATCCATTATTTGTGCCTTCAACCAAGGGATTTAGTTACACCCTTTTCCTTTTTTTTTCTCCTCTCTCTCCTCTTTCTCTCCAGATCTTCCATTATTTTAAACTATTTCACCGATAAAATACTCACATTATTTTCGACGATGATGGATTTTGAAGGCAAATGCATGTAATTGTTTACATTATTTTAGACAAGTTCATCTATAAAATTAATGATCGATTTCAGTGTTTTAATTCTCCAAATGTAAATATTCATACTTCATAACTGCATCAACTAGGTCATTCATTTTTAAACATCCCTTCTGTTGAAGGAAGCAAATAGAGAGAACAATGGCTTCCAAGCTAAAGTGCACTGGTAGATTATTTAGGAAAAGATATCCTCGTTAGAGAGCGATTGAAGCATCTTCCTCCTAATCCATTTAAATAGGCAAAATAAGTAACCACTTAACTATACACCAAATCCATGAGAATGAATATCATCATACAGAGATTTTTTTTTTTGTATCAGATAAAGCTACCAATGCACGGAGATATATTGTAGTATTTATCTACAACTTTCACACATTATTTCTACTCAGTTAAATACAACTACAATAACATACAACTTAAATACAAATTTTATACAATATGTCTTTTGTATATTTTGTATCTGATTTATACATAGTAAAAACAAATTTCATACAACTAATTATATATTATACAACTTATCTACAACTTATTTACAATTTTCATACATTATTTCTACTCAGTTATATACAACTACAATATCATACAACTTAAATATAATTTTTATACAATATTGTTCAACTTTCATACAATAATTAAATGAATANTCAAGAATCGCCCAAATCCGTAGTCTCTAACTCAAAATATGAAAAATGGGTTCAAACCCTCGTTTTTGAAATTTAACACTTCTGCGCAGTTATTCCTTCTTCGCGAACGCGACCATCCTCTCGTGTTCGCGTAGACCAATCTGTATGCCTCTCAATTTAACTCTTCGCGAACGCGAAGCTTCACCAACTTTACTCTTCACGAATGCGACTTCTGCCCCGCAAATGTGTAAACCAAAAGGCTAGGGTCCCCAGCTGCCTCAACATCTCTTCGCGAACGCGACACCTCTCCTGCGTGCGTGATGCAGACACAACCATACCTTCGCGTTCGCGTCCTCTTCTTCGTGAGATAGGGTAAAGTGTCCACTTGACTTGGTTTGATATGAAGGAAGTATAATAAATCGTATACCGTATTTGTTTTTAAGAAAGGAAGAAAATATAATAATTTGTATACACACTAAATCATATAATTCGTATAAACATAAAATACACATAAATACAATGGAAATACAAATATAATACACGAGAATCTTCAGCTCCCAACATTTAATTTTTACATATTTCAAGGCTTGAAATTTAATTTTGTGTTTTGGAGGAAAAATGTAGGCTAATTAGTTGTTAAAACATGGTATAGCCAGTTTTCACACTGGTCAATGAAAAATAGCCAGCGTTTATCAAGTCAATGAAAAATAGCCACTATTTTGCTGCAACAGGGACCGGTCCAGTATAATATACGGGAGTTCTGGTGCATTTGTGTACGAACTCCAGCATATTATGCTGGACCGGTATACTTTGCTAACTCCTGTAAAATTTGCGGGAGACTGGAGCACCAGTGCTCCAAACTCCAGTATATTATACTGGACAATTATACTTGCTGGAACTCCCGTAAAATTTGCGGGAGACTGGAGCACCAGTGCTCCAAACTCCAGTATATTATACTGGACAATTATACTTGCTGGAACTCCCGTAAAATTTGCGGGAGTTCCAGCATAGTTATCCTGGAACTCCCGTAAATTTTACGGGAGTTCAAGCATACTTATGCTGGAACTCCCGTAAAATTTGCGGGCGTATTTTTCCGGATTTTGAACAGTGTTTTCGCTCAGATTTAAAGTGGCTAAATTTCGATAACTTTTGAAACTTGGCTATTTTTCAACGACCAGTGGTAAATCTGGCTATTTTTGAATTTCTCCCCAAAAAACCAATATTAAGAAGAGACGCAATGATATTCAGCCCAATTTCGATACAATCTATGAATTCTTTGGCCCAGATTTATATGAGGTCGAGAAGATTCTCCCGAGCCATTTAACCGTCCTTTGAGGTGTACATAAAGGTACAATATTAAGGCCTAAGACATTATTCAAAAACCAAAGAAGGATGAGTCCAACAAAAAGATGAAACGCCCACCGTGGGGCTCGAACCCACGACCACAAGGTTAAGAGCCTTGCGCTCTACCAACTGAGCTAGACGGGCTTGTTGTCCACTTGTCTTATCAAGTTTTACAAAACTCAAACTAATTGTAAGACCGTCTATTCTTTCACTTAAGAATTGATAAGCCCTTTTGAATATCATTTTACCGTTTAACCACTTTTAGCTTTAACCTCTCCATTTGTCGAAGGGAATTGTGCGAATGAAGATAGGATGGGGAATGGTAACGGCTAAATTAGAGGAGTACATTTTGAGTTCTTGTTTTATTACTTGATTTTGCTGCCTATATTCTTTTGAGGATTTTTCATAAACCGATAATTTGTCTAATTAGCATTCTTAGCTAGTGTTGAGTTGTTACAAAGTTGTACCACTTGTATTCGAATGCGCAACGAATACAAACTCTGTCAACTGTATTGATTCGCGCAATGAATAGAAACGAATACGATTGTATCAATTGTATACATTCACGCAATTGTATTCTTCCGTGCAAGGAATACAAAATGTATCAACTGTACCCAAGGGTGTATACAAAGGATACAACTTGTATCAAGTGTATACAAGGGTAATACAAAGGATACAACATGTATCAAGTGTATACAGGGGTATACACAAAGGATACAACTTTTATCGACTATATTTGTCCCGTGCAACGAATACAAATAAGGCGAAATATAAAAATACAGAAAAATAATGTTCTTGTTGAGATTCAAACTCATGACCTTCGCTAGCTGAGCAAGTACTCTAAACAACTAAGCTACAAGAGCTCTCTTGTTTCAATTCAAAACAATTAATCTTTTATTTCATGGATTTGCTATAAAATTCAAATATAACTACGATTGGTAAATTTGCTAAAAGTATAGTTACGAATGGTAAATACAGTGTAAGTATTTGATGTGTCGTGTAATTTTTCTTATTCTTTTCTCGCAAACCCGGTTTTTTCCTTCCTACAAGAGCCGATTAATTCATCATTAATATTAGCAAAAACTACCACTATATTTCTCGAACTTCTAGTTCTACTAGAGAGCACGACAAGGAAGGGGTCGTTTGGTTGGGAATTAAATTATCCCATGTTAATATTTAGGAATTAGTTATCTCATCCTTCCAGGGATAAAAAAAAAAACATTCCAATCCCGAGATTATTATTTTATCCCAACCAAACATGGAATAACTCAGCTCAAATTTAATTCCGAAATTAATTATCCCTTATCGCCCATATCAAACGAGCCCTTATTGGAAGTGCTTATCAAAGGATTATCTCTGCTTGACCTAAAGCCTTAAAATCGAAACTTTATTCCAACCTGTTATTGGAAAAGAGGCTAGATGAAACGATAGGCGTAAAAGAATTGCTACTTCCTCATATTCCATTTTATGTGACCTTCTTTTATTTTTACTCTATTTCAAAAAGAGTAACACCTTTTTTATAATTAGGAACAATTTAATTTTAAAGTTCTCATTTTATCCCTAATGACATGACTTTATAGCTACAAAAATGTCATGTCATGTTTAAGACCATGACTTTCAAAAAGTTTTTCTTTTCTAAACTTCATGTCCGACCAAACATCTTCACATAAAATGATTAAACATAGAGAGTACATATTTAGATTGGCCCAACATCCAATATTCCAACCGAACAACGTTGCGGAGGCTTTGGCCTAGTGAGTATAGAGGCGGAGCCAGAATTTAAAACTAATGGTTTCGGAATTCTATTCATTCTAAGTTACTGGGTTCTAAATTAATAATTTGTACATATTCAATGAATTTTCAAAGCTCTAGCTCCGCCCCTGAGTGAGTATTTTCTTGGTCAATACTGTTCAAGACACATAATTTAGCATGACCTTCAGGCAGTATACTGTTGCTTCGGTTTGGTCTGCAACATAACTTGTCAAGTGTAACTTTCTCCTGCATCCGAACATTAACGATGAAAATAAAATTATTATTGACATTGAATTACTACCAGTACATGCGATGTTCCAATGATTTACCTCTGCATTATCCAAGTCGTAGCGAACGACAAAGATGCACGTGCATTCTGTATTATCGTGTAATTTCTTTTGGATCTCCACAACTTGCGCATCACCATATACTGCGAGATATTCATCTTCCTGTGAATTTAAAACATAACATTACAAAATGGTCATAAAAATACTTGGGGCCTTGACTGTCCAGATACCACGCTTAATCGTGACATTATTGTTGCACTGATACACATCGACACCTTTTTTGGAAAGTGGAAATTTCATGATTTCTATGGTGCTTTTTTTTTAAAAAAACAGAGTTTTTATTCGTAACGAATGTTGGAGAAACGAAATGATACCCTGAAGCACATCAAGGGATCTCCAACATTCACCCTGTCACATTCTGAGGGCTTCAAGGGAACGGATCGTTCACGTACTCTCCTTTTAACATTCACCCATTCATCTTCTTCATGACCAAAGCCAGCAAATCTTACACGAACTTCCTGCATAACGAAATACTTCATATATGTCAGACTATAAACGACAAGTCTTTGTCTGACGTAAAATTCTGTTGATATGACACTGATTGTTGTGCGCCTTAATATGGAGCCCATCCCACTACATATATTGTTTTAGTAAATGCATTTCAGCTTTAAAATATATGTTGAATGACAAGTGAGTCCACCATCAACGTTTCGAATTCAGTTATCCATGCGTTTCTAGCATTATTCCATTGTGTCCTGGGAGGTATCAAATTTATTTATCTAACATGAGTGTATGTGTATCTGTAATTTCACATAAAACCTAAGGGAGGATTGGTGGTTCTAATCTATGGAGTAGGAACTCCAACAAACAGAACTAATGTTACTTCAATCCGGTCCATGAACCTTCATACTTCACAGTGGTCAAGGAGAAATCTTAAATCTCTCACATACACTGTGATCACTAGAATACTAAAACTTCCAGATAACAAGAACCAACGAAGATATTTAAGTGCACCTAGGGAAATAGAAAAACCAGAAAAAATATCCACAGAGAACAAAGAGCTTACAAGCTCGCCTGTGCGAAGAACTCTGAAGTTGAGAAATGAGGCCACATCATACCTGCAAAAGACAGAGAAAAAACTACTTGGTCAGGTTCTCTAAGTTACAAAAGTAGTTCATAGAAGACAGGGGGATATCAATTTTGCCGCTGCGCTTAAGAGCCTGGCAGAGTATAATACAGTTTGCAGCATTTAATTAGTCTAGGACTTCACTAATACTTAGCTTTAGTTGCAAGAGTCATTCTTTGTTTTCCTAAAATTCAGTACATAATCTAAGAATAAGGACAAGACAGAGAACAGAAAAGAAAAGGAGAAAAAGAATAGTTGACAGCAAACGATAGTAGCAGAAAAGAAGTCCAAAAGAAGAACTAGCAGCAGAAGAGGCACACACAGATAAGGAGAAGCAAAAGTCTTTTTGGACAAAAGAAATCAAGAAAGAAGCAAATTAAGAGAAGCAGAGAAACAGAAGTAGAAAAGAAGGAAGTATTGAATATCAGAATCTAGTATTACTATCGAAAAGGGAATTCTGCTACACAGCTGGTGCCTTGTCGAGCTTTATGACATTCATATTAACTTTCAGAAGAATTTTATGCTCAGAACATCATTAAGTTGCTTTGACCTAGAACCAACTCATCCTGTTAATGCCTGAACCATTCAGCCACTGAATATTGCCGACTTTTGCCCTTGCACAATCCGGGGTATCAAAGACCTGCCTCTACAGTATGGTATGCTCAATGGCTTCGACAATTCATGGTAGAAGTTGAGAGAACATGATAAATCAGTACTTATAATTCGTTTTGGCATTCAAATTACTATGATGAGGAATGTAAATCATCATATCTGGGTAATTCCATGGACAATATCCAGCCTCAACCACGTGATAGTTTTTCACTTATTAGTAGTTTCTTATTCTTCCCGTCATTGTAACATAACAATATCCAGCCTCAACCACGTGATAAATTTTTCACTTATTACTAGTTTCTTATTCTTCCTGTCATTGTAACGTAACCAGGAACGCCTCGATACTTCTTTACTAGCTTCGACTTTTTAGTCTCCACTCTCCAAGCTACTGAACTTGGATATTCATAAACCCGCATAAATCAACACAAGAGACTCAATCAGAAATTTTTATTGAGTAAACCTTTTTCTAGACATAAGCCCCACGTACGACATCACCATGTCATATTATCACCTTTGGCAATCTAACATGTAGGTTAGGGAAGTATGAAGAAACCAATATTATTGAGTCAGAATCAGAAACTACAAGAATATGAGATCTACCAGGATAAAATAGAAAAAGATTAGGTCTTTAACGCGTGGACTATTAGCAAAATATAGAACCATTTGGGATATAGAGAAGGATAGAGCTGTGTTAAATGCTCACCAAGCTAAATCCTTAGCTGAAAGAGCTTCAAAAGACAACTCTGCGAGCTCTGTGGCCATCTCTGCTGCAGAAACTATAACAGAATGCACAACGGTCTAAGCTTGAGAGTAACAGAAACCACATACTTAAGATGTTCAAGGCACTATATCTAAAATATCTGAGTATGTTAGTTGCTCAATCATACGATACATCATTTTTGTTATGACAATATACTCGTGCATAACAGAATAGGAAAATCTAAAGGAGTAATCTTTATGTTCAACCATGACAAGTAAAACAGAGATAAAACAGATAAAAATCAAGAAAAATGTCTTAAAACCATTAGGATAGCCAACATGTATATTTTTTCCAAAAGCAATTAGATAAGACTAAAGTCGGTCACGAGTATTTTGAAACAAAAATCTGAAAGATTTGTGAAAGGGATCAGTAAAGAATTCATGTAGTCCCGGTAAAGTATTCATGTAGTCACATTCGAATAAAACTTTTGTCAAACTCGTAAGAAGAGAAAAATTTCAACTTATTGGCAGTTTAAAACAGATTAACAGGAAAAGAAGACATCAGAGTGATCTTGTGCTAGTTGAATTAAGAATTTTCTTTAACTTTAATGTTTTGTTGCATAATTATCTAATTTGAGCAACTCAAAAGTAGTTTCTTGCATTTCATACATTGATACAAATAGAGTAAACAACTTCTAATCCACTAAGTGAGGACAAAAATCAAACATCAGATATATAAAGGTCAAGGAGAAATTGGTAACCTTTGGGCTTCTGAGGCCGGTCATATGCACATTCGGGGAGTCTTGTGTACCCGCAAGTATTGTATTTTCTGGAAAGCATTAGAGCTGAAAATTTCTTTTTAGATTTTGGTTTTTTTGCTGGTCGAGGTCGAGGAACATCAGATTCTTTCTTAACAACAATCGCTTTAGCTGCTTGTGTTTTTTGCTTATCCATAAACCAAGTTTGCACCTTTAACATAGCAAAACATACATAATAGATTTGTAAGATAATCCAGATGTCATGAATACCTAAAAAGGGAAAATAAATATTGAGAATACAGTTCAGAGATAAACCTGTTCCCATTTTATGAAAGATTTTCCAGTACGATAAGGTGAACAACTGCAAATTAAAAATTAGCAAACAAAAGAAAAAACATATAAAGAAGAAAATTCAACTTAACAAAGTGGAAGAAGTAGCATTTATTTTAGCCCAAAGGGAAAGTTTACCTAAACTTTGTTGCAAGTTTTTGACAGAACTCTTGACTAATTGGTTTTTCTTTCACTCGCTTAAACAAGGTGGTCATTTTCATAGCCTGTAGAAAGTAAGTGAAAATCCTCTGAATTAATTAAGCATTTACAGATTTAATCCACATTTGGTAATTTAATCTAAATTTGGTCATTCTTGATTTTAGTTCCCTGTATGTTGCTGTTAGATAAGGGAACTTTCCAAGTATAATGTAGCAAAACAAAAAAGGAACAAGATTAGATGAGAAGTCAAAGGAATTGAAATCAAACAAAGAAAATGACATGAACAATCAGGTGAAAGGGAGAAAATAATTTTGCTTAAAGCAGAAAATGAAAGATTGCTGACAGTAAAGGGAAAGCAAGAAAATTGAATTAACCTCAGCTAATGTGAACTCAACCAATTCTTCTTCTGTTTCCATGAAGTCAGCCATTTTTCCCGTCTCCAAAATGCAGAGAGAGAGAGAGAGAGAGAGAGAGAGAGTGACTGTGTAAGTGTGTGTTTTATTGGATTTTGTGCAGCTGACTGCCTGATAGAGAAGCAGAGTTGTAAGTTGCTTTAATAGGGAAAGAATAGATCCACTGAGTCGAGCTGAGTATCTGGTCTACCCGTTCACCCACTAGTTAGTCGCCACGTGTACATTTTTATTTCGGTTATTAGAGCAAGTCACAAGTCAATGTAACCACCCGAACTCTGTTGCAATTGCCTTATCGGGGAGAAATATATATATATATATATAAACCCGAACTCTGTTGCAATTGCCTTATCGGGGAGAAATATATATATATATATATATATATATATATATATATGTATATAAAATTTTATATGATAAAAGTTTATATATAACACATATATCTTGTATTCATCAATTTTATATAGAAATACGAAGTGAGTAAATATTTTCCAATATGCACTAACATAATCAACGGGAATAATTCAATTGAAATTTATAAGCATGCTCTTATGGTAATTGTTTACCCTAGAAACTGGATAACAATTAAACTTATAATGTGGTGTTAAGGATATGCGATTTCACCTAATACCAATTGATTAACGTAAAGATAAATGATAGAAATTGACAATAATATAAAGCAAACCAGTGTTTGAACAAAGCCCTCGAGTTGGAGTACCCTCGAGCTAGTAGAGCAAGAACACTTAATAAGCAGCAAGCTGATAAACAAGAGAACGTGAATTAAAGAGAGAATATTAAATTGCTTTGATCTGTGTGAATGTAAGGTCCGTGCAAATGATGAGACTCCCCATTATATAGTAGAGAAATCCTAATTATGGTATAACTCTAATTACAGAAGTAAATCCCATGATTAGCCTAAACTACCACCCTTGATATGATCTGTTCCGGAATTTCCGCCGTGATCTTCGACCGATTACGGATATCTCGCCCTTCTGTTATTGCGCTTTGCTCGAAGTCGGTCATATTTGGTCTCGATCATTGTTGGCCTCGATCTCGACGGGCACCTCGATTCTCGAACTCAATACCTCGTCTTCGTGCTCTGGCTTGATCCATTACGAGGCTAACCCTCGACATGAGCCCCTGGTCTCGATTAAATAGCAAAATCGGGCAAGCCCGATTTTAACCGTATACCGATAGTCCCCTCGTTTCTTGGAGTGTATGAGAAGAAACAGACCGAGCCTTCAATTTTATACTTCGACCAGTTATGACGTGACCCTTGTGATGTAGGCGGCAGAAGATACCGAAGCGTCGCGTCGGTATGATTCCCAAGAGCATTAATGAGCGTCAGTTGATGGTCGGCCACTAGTGCATTTGAACCGTCGTCGTGAATCCTTAAATAGGTCTTCTTCTTACTTCTTTAAACTTTACTTTGAATCTTTCTTGCACTAATCTTCAAAATCCTTCTGAGTTTTTCAAGTCTTTCTGCAAATCTTCAAAGCTCCTCACATCTAGTTAAGCCTCTCCGTTCTTGCACAATTTCTAGGCCTTGTTACCAATCTTTCTCCAAAACTACAAATTTCATCTTCTTCTTTCTCCGAATCCCTATAAAAATGGCAAAAACATCAAAAATCGTTCCTCAAAAGAAGAAAGCTTCTTCATCGCGGCCGGCCGGCGATAAAATGCCGATGGAGCCAAGCATCGAGGAATGTGTTCCCGGGGTGTGCTATCTTACTTCCGATTTTAAAGTTGAGAAACCCTCGTCGGTCCCTGGCCGATGTGAGCCAATGTCGAGATATATATGCTCGATAACTGAGGGCGACCTTAAGCAGGTGAAGAAACATTGCCACTGGGAAGACAAAGAGGTGGTGATTTCGACCCCCGAGGAGGACATCACTACTTATGTGAAAGGGTTCTTAAGTGTCTATACTTACCCTTTCATGCTGGGCCCCGTCGATCCCGTTATCATCGACTTCTGCCGCCAATACCAAATAACCCTAGGCCAGATCCATCCTTCTTTCTGGCGTATTGTCATTTTGCTTTGATTCTTCGTGAGCAAGGTCGAAAGAATGACTTCTACCCTCGACCATCTCATCGGACTGTACAAGCCCCATTTTTATCGAGGCGGATTAATAAGGCTTCAGCGTCGGGCCACCAAGTTGCTGTTCTCGAGCATTGGCGAGGACAAGGACCGAGGATGGATGGGCTAGTTTGTCCGAGTGAGGACTTCCGATATAATCCCGGCCGAGAAGATGCCATTCCCCGAAGAGTGGAACATGAAGCGTAAGTACAAACCCCGCCCTTGACCTCCATTTACTGTTTCGTTCCTTTTGCTTTTTCTCATCGATGTTCTTTCCTGTGGTACAGCGGTCTCTTGGGTGCCTGGTGCAATTCCGAACCTTGAGGGCTGGGTTCGGAAATTGGCATCGACTTATTCATATGTGGAGCGCTCGTGGCGTGATTTGGAAAGGGGCCGATGGGAGGCCAAAAATCATGGTAAGTTTCTTTTCATGTGTTTGACAGCTCTTTTCTGAAATATCTCCTTTTTACTTCTACTTGATTTCCTTTCATACAGCTCACGGGGACAATGCTATCATGCGGCCCCCGTCTGGGGAGGAGGAGGTTCCGCCCCCGATCCCGAAGCGTCGAAGGAGAAGAAAAGAAAAAGGGTTCGCCTTCCGAGACTCCAAAGCCTAAAAATAGCAAGGCTCCTAAGTCGAATAATGACACCGCCGCCCTGCCTAACGATGTAGCTCAGTTACTATGAGATGAAGAAGAGGAAAAAGAAGATGTTGACTACGAGCTGGTGGCACGAAAGAGGAGCGATGAGGTCTCAAAGGCCGCTGAGCCGGTGATGATCGAGGAGGTTCAGCCTCAGACCGAAGAGATCTCGGAGGATGGCCCAAGCAAAGTCCCCGAGTCGTCGGAGGCTGAAGATGCCCCCCGCCGTGACGGGCAATCGGTGGACGTACCTGAAGGGGCCAATTCTGAGGCCCTTCGAAACGAAGAGAACGCCCCAAGTGACTTGCTTGGGGAAATATATATTAGCGATTCACCGCCCTTCCCCACATTTTCCAAGGGGCAAATTCAGGAAGCTTAGTCCATGGAGACCCCCGATGTGGGAATGGCCCACGAAGCGGAGGACCTTTTTCATGGTTGCTTTACGGGAGTCAAAGATGCTTGGTGATGCGTCGAGTATCTTCAATGAGGTTCAGCGACTCCTTAGTCAGGTAAGCCTTATCTCCCTTCATCAATATTACCTTTGCCTTTCTTGCCTGATTTTCTTTCTTTCTTCCTAGGCTTTGACGCTTCATCGGGAAGCGTTTTCTAAATATCGGGCAGAACTGAACCGGTGTGAGGCTGATCTCAGAAGGCTCACGGAGGAGAGAAATGCCCTTAAACTCCTCAGTGGGCAAAAAGAAGAGGAGATCATGGACCTCTGAGCTGAACTAGCCACAACTCACAAAGAGCAGACCAACCTGATTGAGCATGTAAAACAAATTCCCTTAGAAGCTCGATATATCAATTCGGGAACGATGACTAACACTTCGACCTTGTATGTTCAGCAGAAGGCCGAAAAGATCGAGCAACTTCGCGAGGAGACCAAGATGAAGGAGGCAGAGACTTTGGGGTGGAAGAAAAACATGAACTGCCTTGCCTCAGAGAAAGATACTGCTCGGGCCCAGTTGTCTTCGGCCGAACATCAACTCCAAAGCATGAAGGAGGAGTGCTTGGCCCGATCCAAGAAAATTAAGGAGCTCGAGGCTCGGTTGGTCGCTGAGCTTGCAAAGGCCATATTTGAGGCAAAAAGAGTAAAGGCTGACGTGGAGGCAGTCGTGGCCGTCTACCGAGCTGATGCTGAAGCTGCTCACGCTCGAGCAAATGAAATTTCCGATGCTGCTCAGGTTCGATCATTCTGCGTTGTCGAGCATGCCAAATGCCACTCTTGGAGAGAAACTCTCGAGGAGATTCATGCCCGTGGCTTTGACCTTACTGTCGATATTGAGAACGCGAAAGTACTCGAGGTCGAGGCCAAAGCGTTGCTTTCTTCTTATGATGATTCCGGGAGCTCGAGTGGATTCGAGAGTAGAGGGGATGAAGATGAGGCTCCCGGGGAAGATTAGGCACTTAGAATTTTTCTTTTTCAGATTTTTTGTGTAACACCCTGAGTGGTCTTTGTATATATTTTTGCATATATGAAATATCCCTTTTCATTCCGACTCATCTCCAATTTTTGTTTTGTGGAAACTCCATTTTGTTTTTTGCCTCATGATAATTTTGATATACTTTATATCTTGCGAGAATTTTGACTCACTTCGTTGCCCTGCGAAAACTTTGTCGAAGTCAGATTAGTATAGTCTCTATAATCGAGTGAGTATTTGCTCGAACTCGAGGTAGAAGAAAACCTTAGGTTTCAGTTGAGCGAGGGTGGATTCTCGAACTCAAAAATATAATGGCCCTTAGGCTCTTCGATAGGGCTGATATGGCCTTAAAAGAGTGGATTTTTCCCTTTTCGGCTTAAAAACTTCAATCATATAAAAATTTATTATGATTTAGCACGAGATAACTATGTACCCATCAGGATTCTCGAGGGTTAAAGTTATCAAAACCCTTTACTTTGTTATGCCTTAGCATAAGCTCGAGAGTTCGAACAATTTGGTACCCCTTAAGGTTTTTGAGGGTTGATGTTATCGAAACCTTTTATAATTTTACCGAGGGTAGACTTTTTTAACCGGTTTTATGAAAATATTTGAAGGCCTAATTTATTACGGAATTCGAACATCTCTGAACCGTGTTAGTTTGGCCGTAGCCTTTAACTTGAGATTTGCCCTTTGGGCTTGTTTCTCAATAATACTTCGAATTTGTTCGAAGTATCAGTCCCCGAGTAGGATGGTCATGGCCTATAAAACCAAGTATTGCCTTTTCAAGGTCTTATGGTCTCGAAGTTTGATAATTCGAACATGTCGATTCTTGGACGGCAATCCCCGAGTATGGGGTTGGTAGCTCGAGGTTGCGATTGGCGCTTAAGCTAGTTCCCGTAATAGATCATAAGTAAAGTAGAAATTGTAAAGCAGAAATTTCACTAAGGCATGGAACATCTGGTAAGGAAAAAAAA